GCTCAGAACCCCTCACATTCAAACTTAGGAGGTCTCAAAACAAACTCTGCTGACTCCTTTCTCCTCCACCCCTGCTAGCTCTCAGGTACAAACCCAGAGTCCTTGTGATCTGCTAGGTATGGGAGATCTGTCTCCTCCTGCCTGGCCACCTCCCTGACTTTATTAGCCTCCTCACCGTTCTCCGCAGGCCACCCTGCTGCCCTCTTGTTCCGGTGCCCTGTGGAGTGCAGTGTCTGACTGGCAGGTTCTCCCCCAGGCATCGCCTGGCTCCTTGCCTTGCTTCTGGTTTCCACTTAGCCAGTGGCGCCTTTCCAATTGCAGCACCCTCCCTACTGCCCACCCAATCCTTCCTCTCTGCTCTCCTTTTTCTCTTTCACTTAAAACTGTCTTATGCATAGTAAGGATTTTGCTGTTTCCTCTCTTCTCCCTCTAAATTACAAAGTTGATGAAGGCAGAGATTTTTCTGTTACATTCACTGCTGAATCTCCTGGCTGAAAAATGCTTATCACTTAATGGGGGTCAGTAGATGTTTATTGAATGAATGAATGAATGAATGAATGGGAAAATAGATTGAAGAAGCCAATGATGATACATTTACTTTTGATATCTGCATTTCCTCATTTTCCTTTGTTGATGATGTATTGCATTACCTCACTCTCTTCATCTGTGTCTGTGTGCATGTATGTGTTGTTTGTTCGTACACTAAAGGTCCAAACTCAGGGCCTACACACTGGGCACTACATACCCAGTCCTTTGTTATTTTGAAAAAGCCTAAGTTGCTGAATTACCCAGGCTGGGTTTCAATTTACAGTCCCCCTGCCTCAGCCTCCCAAGGTGCTGGGATTACTGGTATGTGCCACTGTACCAAGTTACATTGTTCTTTCTTGTTGGAGCGTAAGCTCCTTGGGGTCAGGGACTCAATTTTCCCCTCTTTTTGTTTCTCCAGCCAATAATATTCAAATAAATGACGGAGAAAATCATCATCATTAGCTAGAAGCATTCAGCTCATTCCATCCTTGTCTTTTTCCTTGTGCTAATAGTTTACACTTTATTACTCTGTTATTTATTTGACTTTGCAGACTGGTCATCTTCCTATGGAATGCTCCTGCAAAGCAAGGCATCTGCGGAATGAGTAAGGTTAATGCACACAGTAGTAAGCTCAGTAGCATGACACCACTGGCTGCCTCAGCGTGAGGCTAGTGGAAGTACCGTCACCTCAGCTGCAGCCCTCCTTCCGCACAGGCACCGCCTGGCAGCTCTCTCATGTCACGGCTTTAATCAACTCTAGGGCAAGAATCGTTCCATCCTAACAGATGGACATGAATTTAACCAGACAATAAACCATGTATGTACCATAAATATGTTTGCTGAGGGCATGATTCCCAGTGCAGAACTTTAAGAACAGCTGTCTGATCGTGAGCTACTGTTTCTTGGTGAGATGATTTGTTAGCATAATTCTAAACAGATAGCATTCATAAAGTTAATCGCTCATTGGATACCCTACCACCAGCAGGCTAATTATTCGCGGGGACAATTTTTATAAACAAGTTATTTACATGAGATTTTTAGAAGCTAATTTGATGCATTTTCTTTCCACATTAAGTGCCATTTTCCTGAAAGGGCTTGTTAACCTTTTGTACATTGCCAGCGACTTGCCTGAATGCCTATGGGGGACATAAATCATGAGTTGTGAACAGCCCCTTATTTTCCATGATGCTTTTGTCTTTTTAGTACTTGTATTAATTACTCTACAAAGTACTGGTTAAATGGTTCTATCTGCACAGTTCTTTAGAAATATAGTTCGTTTGTCCTTTCACTTTTTTTTTTTCCTGTCATTATCTTCTGAGTTGTTTTCATTCTCTCCACAAATACTGCTTTCCCTGTGGAACCTATGCAAATTAAAATGTGGAGTATGTGTTCGTTTTGCATTCTATAGAGGGTAGCTTCTATTGATGTACAATTTCATTGGTGTGATCCAACAGGCAAAGTATAAATTGCTGTAAAACTGGAAAAGTATTGGGTAAAGCAGATGTTCTCTTAGCATGAAGCAGATGTAAAACTTGCAACTGTCTGTCTAATAAAGTATAGCATTTGGTTCTATACAGCTGGCACCAAGATTACCAATTAATCATGTTTGAATGCATTTTTACTAATTAGATCCCCCTCTGTTTTTTATTGTTCTGGGTATATTGAAGAGAGGGGTGGGGCGCAGACGCTTTCTACTTTTAGAACTTTAAACAATGTTTTTCCCCCTCATCTTTATATATGACTGTTTGGTTTTATTCTTACAACTGTATAGGAAGTGAAGCCCATAGATGTAGGTAAATAATTTGGTTCTGCTGTTGGGGTTGCAGTTTTCATGTCAAGCTACTCCACTGAAGGCAGTAGTAGTAGTTTGAACATTTTAAGGCGGTAGGAATGAAGGGAGAAAGAGTAATTAAACTGAAAGCAGTTTTTCCTTCTCATTTTCAGGACAAAAAGCTAACATTTTCTCAGTTAATATCAGTTCATAGCCTCGATGATTATATGACCAAGTAGGGTTTTAAACATTTCAGAAACAGGGACTGGGGAGATAGCTCGGCGGTCTGAGCCCTTGCCTGCCTGGCAAGCACAAGGACTGGAGTTTGATCCCTGGTACCAAATGCTGTGCTGAGTGCATAACCCCGGACTGTGCCGGCCCCAAAACTGGACGTGGTGGCGCACACCTGTAATCCCAGAACTGGAGAGGCTGAGACAGGAGGATCACTACAAATCCAAACTGCATAGCAAGACCCTGTGTCAAATAAATAAATAAATAATAAAAAGTTTAAACATTCAAGAAACAGGTGATACTAGTTTGGATTTATTCTCTAAAAGGCAAGAGCAGTTTTTCTCCAAGATTAAAGGTTCTCATAACTACTAAGAAAAGCTGCCTTCACTCCTATAAAAGGCAAACACAAATCAGTAGCAACTATGGAAACTAAAGAAGCTGTCTCATCCAGTGTTGTCCTTTTTAAAAGTAAGTGTGCTGATGAAACTTTGGATCCTCAGGAGCCTTTTTAAGTGCTTAATTTCCCTAATGATAATTTGTTTGTGTCAAAGGAAATGCAATATATAAAAAAGCTTGCTGTCTCACTCCACCCATGCTTGTAATAGAAGTAAACTAATAGTGATACAACCTAATAGTTTGGTTTTTGAAGCCAGTAATTGGATGCTTACACTTTTAAATAAGAGAATATTTCTTCAGTGCTTTCTTTCTGAGTTGATTTATAATTTTTTTTTTTTTTTTTTTTTTTCCTTTGGATTTCAGTTTTATGGCTTTAGGTTTTTTGGTGGAATGGGGGATTGAACTCAGACTGAGTCATCTCCCCAGCCCTATAATTTTTAAAGGACAGGAGAAATATTTAAAAGGTAGGAGAAATACATTGATTCGCTTTCAGGACTGGAGATGAAGAGCATGAGTAGATTTAATGAAGTGTTTGATATTTCAAAAACATGGGAAGAAGGGGAAAACACAAATATGCTTCAGAGGAGTTCATTGGCTCGGAAGAGGAGTGCTCAGTGTCTTATCATCTTCCAGCTCTGTTGGGTTTGTGGAGTGCAGATCTGCAGTGGTAAGAAAAACATAGGTGAGATTACATTTCAGACAATGTGCTAGAGATTCTAGGACCTGGTTTTTGGAAGACTTGGGTAAAAGAATGTATCATGACAAAGATTATAACTTTTTGTTCTCTTCTGTTTTTGCACGTATATCAAATATGCTAAGTACTAACGGGATCCTTCCAGAAAACCCTCTTCATCTTCTTTACCCATTGCTTCCATATTTTATGTTAAAAAAGCATCTTGCAACCAAACTGCCTCAGAACTATAAAAGTGTTTAGTTCCTATCCAAAAGCAGTTGAACTATTTCATGCATCTACTTACCTGCGTGAGCGTATCTTCAGCAGGGTTACACTTGTCAAAGTCAAAATCATGTGGAAGGTCTGAATACTGTATATTCTTTGAAAATTGTTGTGATGTTGCTGCTCAATATACAGGTATCTAATGCAGTTACAGTTCTTTCCTTTTGGGAGATGTTTTCTGGTTGTTCATAATGTACCTGTATTGGTCTCACTAATATTACTCAAGAATAGTGATATGTTTTCTTTTTATTTTCTTAAAATTTAGTTTTCTGGGGCCGGGGAGATGGCTCAGTAGAATAAGCGCTTCCCTGGCAAGTGCAAGGCCTGAGTTCAATCCCTGGTTCCGCAAAAAGAAAAAGAAAAAAGAAAATTTAGTTTTCAGTGACATAAAAGCAAACCATTCACTTGAAAACAACTTAAATGGAACTAGTTACTAATTATTTCCATTTATTTAAAAAATGGTTTATTGTGGAAGGTGTGAATATCCACAAAAGTAGAGAGAATGGTAGAACAGGCTTTCAGGTGTCCAGGGCTCAGTTTCAGCAATCATCCTGCCGTGTGTCAAGATTTTGTGAGCCAGGTATGGTAGCACCCACCTATAATCCCGTGTTGACAGATTAAAGCGCCTGCAAGCAGGCACAGGGGCCAGGGGTTCAATTCCCTGGCCTGCCGTGCCAGCCCTGCCCCTAGGGCATGCTGAGATGGTGGCGCATGCCTGTAAACCCAGCTCTTGGGAGACTGTAAACAAGCAGATCACTACAAATCTAATCTAATAGTGAAGCTATGAACCCTGTAGACCCTTCCCTAAAATACAGAAAAAAATAATAAATATAATCCCATGTTCAAGAGGCTGATGCAGGAGGATCACCTCCACAGGGATCTTTACGTGGTAAATTCAGGGACAGGCTGAACTACATTGTGAGACCTGTCTCATAAAGCCAAAGCTAAAATAAATGGTAAGAACGACAATACAAAATATTTCCTGTATCCTTGAAATGGTAAACTATTTGTTGGCATTTTCTCTCGTAAACTGTAGTTCTGCATCCTGTTTCTACGGTGACAATACATACTGAAATAAAAGTAGGTCACATAAACCCAGTAGATCTAACTTCGTTTCAGGAAGTGGAGCGAGAAATCTCATTCAGAACAGAGTGTGGATTGTATTACTCCTACTACAAGCAGATGCTGCAGGCTCCAACCCTCATGCAAGGTAATTACAACTAATAGTTCCATTTGGGGTCTGCTGCGTTCTTTGCAGCCTTTTAGTCAGAGCAGAACTTGACTATAAAGCATTTCAAATGCCTTAGAAAACTTGTGTAGTTTTTCATCCGAATTCATGTAGCTTTTCCTTGTTAATGTCTAAGCATCCCATGAAAATGGTTTCCTCTAAAAGAAATCATATAATATTTTGTAAAACTCTCCTATCCTTGCTTTCTAACTCTAGCCCAGCCCCAGCGCAGTCTCTTTGTGATTTCTTAATTTCATTTGTAATTGTTCTCCTAATCATTTTGAAGGAGGTTTTTGCACGTGAAAGTATTGTTCAAAAATCCCAGGCATTTCAGTAATAAAAATTTTAGTTGTCTCTCTTGTCCTCTCTGTCCCCACTTATTCCTTTGTCAGGCAATTGCCCATTTTCACATATTTGCACTTTTCCTAAATGATGTAGTGCCTCCTCCCTTTCCTGCCTCTAATGGAAGCCTTCTAAGGTCACTCCTAACACATCCTCCACTTGCTCCACCTGGCACGTGGGGCAGACTGCTGTCCTTTTCTAGGCTTTCCTTGGATGCAGCTGTGATATTTTCGATGCGATTCCTCATAGGTGATATTTTGTGAATCTACTCTTACCATAATAGGAAGACGTGAAATTTCGGCTACCTTTGTTTGTCTGCCATAAAAAGTAATCACTTGGTTCTTAAATCACTTGATAGCCACATTCATCCTTCATAAAGCTGCTTACTTACCTGTATCAATGACCACTCATGATTATTGTCTATATTCATTATTTCAATAAGGCTGCAAATTGGTGACATTCTAAATCTTTTGTTCTTCGTCTGTTTATTAATTGGAACTTTGTTCTATAGAAAAGCTTTTTCTCATCAATAGATTCATTACCCTGAGGTACAGTTTACACAAGATAGACGGGCTATATTGATTTTTCCCCATATGGCCAATCCTACTAGTATGGCTTCCAAATTTGCAAAATCACACACTCAAAAAAATTTATTTATCACTCTCAAATCAATAATCATGGCACTTCCACAGCATTCATGTACAGGTCCAGAGCTCTGAAAATTTACCAACACTTTGCCTTTTTTTCTCTGCAGAGACTAAAACAGAAACAATGCTCTGTCTCAGGTTAGCTCTTACATTACAATATCTGTCTTAGTTAATTTTCTTGTTGCTGAGACAAAATACCTGACACCCACAAGTTGAAGGAGAAACAATATATTTCAGCTCACAGTTTGTAGAGGTTTCAGTCCACGGTCACCTCACTCCAAGGCAGGCTGGCATGATAAGGGGCATCGCAGAGGAGAAACTGTCCATGGTGGAGCAGGCAAGCAGCACCAAGTAGTGAAGCAGCAAGCCTCCATTTCCTTTTTCTCTCATTTATGATATAAGCCTTTTGACCCCTGCACACATGCAGGGCAGGCCTTCCCACTGGCCTTCCCAGAACTAAATCACTAAAGGGACTACTTCAGTTACCATACCTTTAATCCATACTCACACACTCTTAATCCTCCTCATACACTGTAGATCCAAACACCTCAAGAAAGCCCCACCTATGAGCACATTAGGCTTTGCAGGAATATCTAGAGAAAAGCCATAACTGTCTTTTTCACAGTCTATTTAGTGCCATGATTTTTTATACTTTTATGATGTTTGCTGGTTTTATAGTTTAAAATGGCCTGCACATATGGTATACAAGTGCTGTGTGGCATTCCTAAGTGCAGGAAGGCGTATATGCCTCGTAGAGAAAACATGATAGATTTCGTTAAGTGGGAGTTACATTGCTACTGACCACAAATTAAGCAACATAAAAAAAAAAAAATGTTTTAAACAGAAACCCGCATGAAACAAGGTGATATGTTTGATGAAAGTACATAATTATAAAATTGCACTGTACCTTTCTAGAACATGACTACTGTGAATAATGAGACGTGGTTCTGTTTGAGAGTTCACAAAATCACGAAGTTGCTTTTCTAGCATACTTGAAGCAGTGTTTCTGATTTGGTTGTCGGGGTAACCCGGGGGAGTCCTCTTGACTGTCTGGAGGCATTTTGGTTGTCACAACTGGGAGAAGATGTACTGGCATCCAGTAAGCAAGAGGCCAGTGGTACAGCTCAGCATTCAGGGTGCACAGCAGTCCCGCGACAAAGAACCGTCTCATGCCAGACGTCAGTAGGGCAGAGGCTGAGAAACTGCTCGATAGATGCATGGCTGTTCCTGAAGTATTGTGACAAACTGGGGCTGGCATGTTTCTGTGCATTCATGTCACCCATTAAGGTCACTCTTTTAGAAATTTTCAAACACATAAAAAGACAGAGGTAATCCTGCAGTGGATTACCATGTGTACGTCACACAGCGAAAACATTCATCAACTCATAGGCAATCTGGTTTTGTCTGTGCCCCTACCCTGAGACTGGATTATTTCATAGTAAATCCAAGGCATCATGCTTCTTCTTCTGTAAACAGATCAATATGGCTCAACAGTGTTCTCATTTCCACTTGTCTTAGATATTTTTAATACAGCTTATTTGTTTGCCAGATTTTTTTTCGGGGGTGTTGTTGTTGTTGTTTTGTAGTACTGGGAATTAAGCTAAGAGCCTTCACACTAAGCTGCATCCCTAACCCTTTATGAAATTTATTTTCATTTTTATTTTGTTGGGACAGGCGCTCACTAAGCTGCCTATTTTCATATTTATTTTGTTGGGACAGGCGCTCACTAAGCTGCCTATTTTCATATTTATTTTGTTGGGACAGGCACTCACTAAGCTGCCTATTTTCATTTTTATTTTGTTGGGACAAGTGCTCACTAAGCTGCCCAGCCTGGACTTGAACTTACATCCTGCCTCAGCCTGGCAGACTGTTGGGATTGTAGGCATCTACCACCACACTCAGCTGGATTTTTAGTACCATTTTTGAGATGCGCATAAAGCATCTACAGAGCAGTCATTTTCTGTGTATGTGTTTTCTTAAATATATCAATATCTTTCATCTCTTCCTGTGCAGTTTTTTTCTGAATGACTGATTTATTTCATCACATTTCCCATTTTCTGCATTTCTTTGGAGCCCTGTGGTATCAGTTAATATTCTTTTCCAAATTTCCTGCTACTTGTTAGTTAGCTTTGGGCATGTTCAGATTTAGGTTCCACTTTTTAGTAAGAATGCTTCCTCGATGGTATTGTATACCTCCACATGGGAGGGCACACAGTGTCTGGCTGCCCACCCATCCAGTACTAAATTCTTGTTTACCTTTTCACTAATTTTTTTAGCACCATTGATGATCTTCCTAAATTCATTAATTTCATATACCATAAAGTGGTGATATCCTGTCATTCCTTCCATTATTATTGGATAGAATTTATTTTTAAAGAAAAACATTTTCTCAATAACTATGGGGTAAGTCAGTTTAGTTCAAAAGGCAGGTGGGAGGAAGCAGAATAAATCTGTTCTTCTCCCTTTGTTAGTTTTACAATGAGTTGCCTTTCTAGGATGCCCATGAGATTTTTTTTCTCCTTTACTGGAGATTGAATTCACAAGTGCTCTACCGCTGAGCTATACCACCAGCCCTGGAAGCATTTCCTTTTAAGTGTCATCATGAGCTTGTAGATTTTTGACATATTTAATGTCTTTCGGTCCTTGGGATCCATACATTCAATCACGCAGTTCCTTTCTGATGGGATGCCTACTTTCTGGCTGCCGTGACCCCAGTGGTCTTGGGCAACTCCCTTGCCTGTTGGCATCACAAGATATTTTGAAGCCCGTTTGGTATATTTTCTTCCACTGACCTAGAATCAGCTCTTCTTCCAAATAGCTGCAGTTCCATTTAGTGGCTATTTAGAAACTACAACTTTGGTGCTCAGGGCAGTTCGTGCTACAGGATGGGCCATTGTTTCCGGGCATTTTTAGTGAGGGGAGCTAGAAAAACGTGACTAGTTCCTCCATAAGAAAATGTAAAGGTAAGTATTTTCAGGCCAAAATCAAAATAAGTTTCTACTTTTTTACTTTTACATTTGTGTTGCTTTTTTGTTGTTGTTAGATATTTGTTTTAAATTTATTATTTAATTTTGCACAGGGTCTCACTACGCAGCTTGGACTTGTAGTGATCCTCCTGTTTTCAGCCACCCAAGCACTGGGATTACAGGAGTGAACCACCACAGCTGGTCTCCACTCAGCACACCCTGGGGGCAGGGCTGGGGGGCATGTCGTGCAGGGGATTGAACCCTGATCCCGCTGAGCTATCTCACCAGCCCTTTTTTATTTTCTTAAATTAAAAATTTTTGTTCCTTGTGACATTGACCTTGTCACTTGCTTTATGCTTCCATTTATATAATATTTTCAAAGAAATAATAATAATAGTGCCACTTACAGTGTGATTACCTGAAAATAGTTCAAGCTGTCTTTAAGTCCCTTTTTGCCTTAGGCTGTAACCCACCTAGGGATACACTGTCACATTCCTGTGTTTTCAAGTCAACTTGATAGAGTTCTTTGTGTGTAACAAAGCCACTGACTCAGTAGGCTTATTTATCTTATTTTTGATTTTCCAAGGGTTTTTTTTTTTCTTCTAAAACAAGGAACATTAAGAAAGGTCTACTTCATCATCACTTCCTCCACTCTTGTTTCCTTCCTTGTTTGTTTTCCTTTAGGTTTTTTGTTTGTGTTATTGTTTCTTGTGTGTATATGTGTGTATGTGTGTGTGTGTGTGGTGCCAGAGATCAGACCCAGGGTCCTGTAGATGTTATACTCACTTGCTGACCCTTTTACTCTTTAGATAATCATTCTTAATAGTTTTTGGTTTTATTCCTTTACTGTTTTAATGTCTCCAAATAAACACATCTTTTAATATGGTCCCATTTTCTCCTCTGCTGTAGAACAACTGCCTGCTGTATAGACTGCTTCCTCTCTTGTTTTCTCCACTCAGCAGACTATCTTGCAAGTCATTTTGCAGTAGAATAAAAGATGGCCCTTACTCTTTTCTGTAGCCACAGAGCACTCTTGTGTGGATAACCACCCTTGATGTCAGTAGGCTCCTCAATTACTCTGCTCAGGATACTGTGATGGAATGCCATAGACTGGATAGGTTCAGCAACAGAAATTTATTCTCTTACAGTTCTGGAGCCTGAAAGTGAGAGGTGGAGGGCAGTATGCTCGGGGTTAATGAGGGCTCTTCCTGGCTTGCATACCTTTCGCTGGGTGTGTTCATACAGCAGACAGACTAAAGACAACCTCACAGATGGTGTCTATTCTTGTAAGGGACTAAGCCCGTCCTGAGAATCCTGCCCTTCAATGTAGGAGTTATGGGAGGGCACAAACATTTCGTCTGTAATACCCCTGCATTAGTATTCTAGATCTGTCATAAAATACCGCAGACCCTGTGACTTACACAACAGAATGTATTTTGTTGCAATTCTGGAAGTTCAAGATCAAAACACCACCAATGTCGTGTCCTAATAAAGCCTCTTCTGCTTTGTAGATGCTGCTCTACTCTCTCTTTGCGTGGCCTTTCCTCTGTGTATGTAGAGCAAGAGAGAGAAGAGAGATTGTGGAAGCTCCAGAGCAAGCCCATTTATGCTGCGCTCTGTTCCTCTCCCACGGTCCCCACCCGTGTGATCTCCCTTAGCCTCTGTTGCCTCCTTCTGTGCCATCTCCAGGTGTGTTCACATTGAACAGTCAAGGTTTCACCGTCCAATTTGACGGCAGGCACAGTTCCGTCCACAGTACCTTCTATTGATGAGCATTTGGTTGTTTCTGTTCTCTTGTTTTTATCGAACAGTGCTACATGAATAACCTTACGCCTGGTTCATCTTATTTGTTGCCAGTTCTTCTTTGGGATCAATTCCTAGCCAAGGGTAGATGCACATGCACTTTTGCTGTGTATTACAAAATTGTACTCCACAAAGATGGTGCCATTTTGCATTCTCAGCTGCATGGCAGCAGAATCTTCTTCCCTACAGCCCTTCTCATACTGTCATATTTCTTGAGTTTGCCAAGTGGGTAGGTAAGAACTGGTATTTCAGTGTCGTTTCTATTGCATTTGTTGAAGCAAGAAAGAGTTGAGCATCTTTCATATGTATAAGGACTGCATGCATGTCTTCTTCTGTGAACTGCCCATCCATCCCTTGTGCGGTACTGATTAACTTGTTTACAATAGCAGACGACCTCAACATAGCGGTGGATTTCTAATCCAGGTTTGCTTCTTGCTCACAGGCTTTGTCTGCTGTGAGACAGAAGCAGCTCTGAGGCTCTGTCCTTCGTGTCTCTCCTGCCAGGCCCTATTTGGGGTATGCCAGTGTCGGGCAGACAGAGAGACCAGAGCTAGCAGAAACACACATTTCTCTAAAGCCGCCACTTAGCCGTGGCATGCTTCATGTCCACACGTGTGCCTGTGCTGTGAGTGAGCCAGGTGGCCGGAGCTGCCTGAAGGGGGCTGTGCAGACTCTCACGTGGAGGAGGGCAGGCCTGGGGATGTAAAATCCTGTTGCCTAAATTTCTATAGAAAAAGTGTGTGTGTGTGTGTGTGTGTGTGTGTGTGTGTTTCATTGCAATCACAGAAGTTTTAACTTGCCTGGGTTTATGTAAATACTGAACTAATGTCCATCTGGGGTATGAGAAGCTCTTTGCGGGGGACACTGTGTTTTCACTCATTGTTATGTCCCCACTGCTGTCTATATTCCCTTGCATGTACCAAAGAATCTCTGCAAGAGTTTTGATTAAATAGTGTTAATTTTCCCAATTTTTCAAATATTTTTAGGTTTTCATGGCTTAGTCTATGATAATGAAACAGAATCTATGAAGACAATTAATCTCCTTCAGAGAATGAATATTTACCAAGAAGTTTTCCTCAGTATTTTATATAGAGTTCTACCCATACAGGTATGTCGTGACCTGTGTCGTTGAACTGTTCCTTTCGGGAAGGTTAAAATGTGTCATTTCAAATTGAACGTGTCACATGTCCTTCTGATCTTGAACTGCTTTGATTGAAAGCAGAAATACCCAATTTTCTCCATCATACTTAGAATATTACTTTATTAATATGACCCTGCTTTTTATTTATGGAAGTTAAAAGATTTCTACCTATAGATGTTTCCTCTCATATCATGGTAATTGTGTACAATCTAGAAGCTGGTAATATGTTTCACTTGTAAATGTGTAATCCTCCCGATTTATCTTTGAGATACAAAAAAATGAGAACATTAGCAAATCAGTGACCACTTCCCATGCAGGAAGGCAAATTAGACAAAGTTAGGTATAAAAGATGAAGGCAAGGCCCCCAGGCCTTTCCTGCCTTCTCTCTTGCTTGTGAGAAGAAGGATTGCTAGCACACTTGCAGCTGAGGAGAGCTACTGTGGACTCTTTGCTAGGAGTTAGCAGCAAGCTTGCACACGCTGCATCGACATATTTTTTAAATGGCACAAGGAGAGTTAGGGCTTCGCTGACAAACATTTTTATTCCTCTCCTCTACAGAAATATTTAGAGCCAGTTTATTTTTATATTTACACCTTATTTGGGCTCCAAGCAGTCTATGTCACAGCACTTTATGTAACCAGCTGGCTCCTGAGTGGCACCTGGATATCGGGACTGTTAGCAGCTTGCTGGTACATCACCAACAGGTGAGTTGGAATCAGTATGCTGCTCTTCCTTTCCAAAATGTAAGTAAAATAAAGTTACCTTATTTCCAGTTCAGAGACATTTTTTATGTTGTGTTTCGTGGGGAGAGCATTTTGTCTTTGGTTTAGCTAGTGATTTACTAAGAATTCCTTACTTAGTAAGAAAGAAAGTCCTGCTTCCCAGCCAAGGACAGAATATTGTATTGCAGATTAAAAGAAAGGTGTAATAATCCCAATTCTCTTACATGGTTGCTGTGCAGTCAGCATTTTTACAGCTACATTTGTCATTTCTTAAAGCGTTGTAATCTGTCTTCACCATCAATCATAATAGGTTTGAATACTGTTCTCAATCAGCAAAGCATAAAGCACTATACAAATGCGAAGATTTTATATTGTTTAATACCTATTAATTTATAAACATTGGAGCCTTATGAATATTATCTCTAAAAAGCATATTTCATAGACATTGAATTATTGTCTGATGTACAGTAGCAGCACCAATATTTAGTAAGGGTCCTAAAACTTGAACATGAATTTTCACACATTTTATTTTTGTAATCCTAAAACAGTTATTTTTTACTATGGCCCTTTGTGCCAAGTACTCTACAAAATACTTTATAACAACTCTGCAAGGTAGGTATTATTAGTCCCATCTTACAGAAAACAAAGTTGAGGCTTAAAGGGTTATGTTACATGTACACAAACATACACACACTCGGTCATTTATTGAATGCCCAGTGTATTGAAACTCTGCTCTTGGTACAAAGTATACAAAGATAAAAGCTCACCTGTACTTCCTCTCTGAGGGTTTATGTTGTAGAGAGGCAAGAAGTATTAAATTTTCGCCAGTGACAAATTTAAGACTCTACTATAAAACACTGAAAACCACAGAGGGGAGCGCTGCATAATCTTGCCTATTGGCATTTATGAAATTAGAGAAAAAAGAAAGGAGCAGTTTGGCCTAATACCTTTATGGATTTACCAGTCAGGCTAGCTTGGGCTTGACCAGTTCTGCCACTCAGCTCACTACACACCCGTGGACTGATCACTGAGATTATCTCAGTGCTAATCTTCTGTTATGGGGATGATGATGGTGGTGGCGGATAATGATAAGGACAAGTCCTAAGAGCCAACCTCTAGAACCTAGGTATACTTGTGCTTACTGTAATTATCATGACAGTTCTTGTGAAAACTGTCATTTTGGCCATTTGTGTTTTCTTTGTGCAGAATAGATACCACAAGAGCTGAATTTACCATCCCCCTGAGGGAAAACTGGGCACTGCCATTCTTTGCAATCCAGATAGCAGCAATTACATATTTCCTGAGACCAAACTTACAGTCTCTCTCTGAAGTAAGTTTCTGTAAAACTTTGTGTCATTTTAATTTCCCAATTTTGTGTAAGAAGCTTTGAAAAATATGTTCTATGTCCTAAACTGTGTGAATAGTTCTTATTCCATGACCAGGTTTTTAACTGGAGTTAAATTAAGTTTTCTTTCTCTAAGCTTTTTCCTACTTCACAAAGAAAATGTTTTCATTTTTTATGGTAAAAATGTACTCTACATAATCTACCCTTAAATAGTTGCAACAAGCCCACACACAATTTCTGTGAAACTGTCAGAATTTTTAAGCTGTTGCTCTTGAGATGTGATTTGGTGCATTATCGCCTCCATAATAGTGTGGAATACACATACCGTATGTGAATATTTATATGCAGAGTGTCACTTTAGGATATTTCAAGCTTAAATAACAAATGCAAGGGTTTTCGGAGCAACAGTTTATGGTTTTTCTGTTTGGTTTATAGAGATATTGGCTGCTCTTGAGAAAACTTGTCTACAAGGTTTTTTATTACTAGAGACATGAAAATTATACAAAGGTTTTTCTTTTTACAGAGGCTGACACTTCTTGCCATTTTCATATCAACTTTTCTCTTTAGCCTGACATGGCAATTTAATCAATTTATGATGCTGATGCAAGCATTAGTGCTGTTCATACTGGACTCCGTGGACATGCTGCCAGCAAAGAAGGTAAGGCTTTGCTTTGCTTTCTTGTGGAAAGCTTTATTGTTTGCATTTCATATGCTGCGATGAAATGCAAAGATGCAAGTACTTAATGACAAGACTGAAGCTCCTTCCTCGATCCAGCATAACCAGGCCATGCTCAGTTGAAGCTGAGGAGTGTGTACAGCCCATTTAACAACCTTCACTTTTATCCTGTTTACTTTATGTTAAAAATGGGCTCTATTTGGGGCATAAATCAATTGTCTTTTATAGAGATGACTTAAATTTTAGAGTAGATGATAGCTCTTCTACATTTTAGATATATATATATATATATCCCTTTTTCCCCAGGAACTCAATAGGTCTGTAACAATGTTTCTTTAATATTCTATAATAAATGTTCATAGTAACATTTGGCCAATATGGGAGGAGAATCCCTTGATTGGCCGAATGTCGCATGTGACATAAGGAAAGGGGAATCTGTCTCCCAGTGTGTGCTGCTGTCATTTAATCCCTGGGTGGTTTTGTTTTTCATATGAAGAGATGTTTTAATGTGTTTTGTGCATTTAAAAAAATTGTTCATGGTTAATAACAGTATTTTCCAAGTAAAATAAAATATCTCCAAATCTAAGGCAGGAAACCAACCCCATATTGAATTGTTCGCTCATTTGTTCTGTATCAAAAGAATCTTTGGGAAGTGAGTCTAAGTTAAGAAGCATTCAAGTCAATCAACAAATAAACATCACCCTTAGGGAGGATGGGTGTCCCATTCCCAGGAATTGCGCCCTCTAGCTTGGGAAATAATGCAGACACACCCAGTTAAACTGGGGAAAGCTTAGATTGCTAGCAATTGTAGCAATGGTGGGTGTTAATAATCAAGGGGAAAATAAGTAATTGTTCAACAGGAAAGGATTTGCAAAAGTCCATGGTTAGAGCTGAGCTACAAATGAGGAGAATTTGGGTGAAGTATGGGCAGGAGAGGAAGGAAAGCAAATGGATAAAGCAGAGTTTATATGTATTTTTATTCTCTCTCCATGTGTGTGAATATGCGTGTGTGTGTGTGTGTGTGTGTGTGTGTGTGCGTGCATGTAGCAGGGGCAACTCATTGCAGGTAAAGTTACTATGATCTTTCTGTAGTTAGTTCCATAATAGGTATAAAATGCCTAAAAATATGTTTGTCCCTGAATGTTTGTCCTAAGTAAATAACCAACGATATTCACTTTAGGTGTATTGTAATAAAAAGAAACTGAGAGTGACTTGAGTCAGTAGCATTCAAGTTTAGTGAAATGAATTACGGTGTGTCTGTACAGCGGAGTGTTACACGCCATCATCCCCGTGAAACATCATAGAGAAAGTGAGACGAGATCACGGGAAGAGAAACATTAATGTTTTAACAGCCAGCTACATTGCAGATGTTCCGTTGGGGGGGGTTGTTGTTGTTTTTTCAAGTTTTTTTCTATAGTGGCTGTGTATGTCTTTTAAAATTAGGAAACAGAATAAAAGTACTATTTGAAGTATACTCACCCATTTAGAAATAATATAGCTTACTTATTTCCTATTAAGTTCTAAACTTTTACTTTTGTATTTAAAACTATCTTGGTATTAAAAGTAATTTTCAAATTTTAAGCAGGAACATTAATGGAAAGATTCTTAGTTATAAAACTAACTTGCTCCTCTGAGCTCTGAAAAGAACTAGCTCTTTAAACTTTGGTAAGTGGTTTAACTTCTGTAAGTCTTAGTTTCTTCATAAATTAGAATCACTTCTCTGTAATCATGTCAAATTGGAAAGAGAATTATGGGTATAGAAACAGGCAAGATAAATTCAGATCCCCACGTGGTGACAATAAGTAGTATCTCCTACAGTGTATGTCACCTTCTTCTCACGGGTGGAGAACATCTTGCTGACAGAAGATCAAGTCTTCAATCAGGAATGTGAATAAAAGTTTTCAAATATAAAGCAAAACAGCAGATGACACTAGTAAGCATGTACTTTGCTTCATAAAAGTCTAGCACATGGAAGTTAATTACATTTTATTATTTTGTGGAAACAAGACATAACATTGGTAAATGCCTTAGGGATAATTTTAAGAATTGCATCTGATTCCAGACAAGATGGGATGACACACTTCTTCTCCCTGTTCCTCCCCTAAGTGCAGTTGAAAGCCCTGGTCAGGATCCATAAAACAAGTATGAGAAGAGTTTGAGACGCGGAAAAAAGGCAGCCTCCCAGAGACTGCAAAGAAGAGCAGCAGTTTATAGCAAGAGTGCCTGAGGGTGTTGCCCCTCCCTCTGTCCACCCTAGACTGAGTGCTGAAGACGTCAGCAAGCTGGAGGTAGCAGTGGACTCAGAGCAGGAAAAAGCCCCAAGAAGCTGCATGTGGTGGTGTGCGCCTATAATCCTAGCAGTAGGAGAGGCTGAAGCAGGAGGATCACAAGTCGGAGCCCGGGCTGGGCAACTTAGTGACTTAGTAAGACCCTATCTCAAAATTTTTAAAACAGTTTAAAAGGGGCTGAGGGTGTAAGTTAGTGAAGAGGCCCTGAGTTCAGTCCCAGCACCACCACCACCAAAAAATAAAAGCTATCTGTCTCTGTAGCAAAGGACCAGAAAATGGAAGGCCTTGCAAGAGAGAACTTTTAGTCCTTAACTGCCCTGAGCTAGCCCACAGGACAGAAAAAGACAGTGCCCCCTTCCCCCGTCCTTTGGCCAGAGTCAGCAAAGTCGAAAAGGGAGCCAAGGCCTTCACCACCTCCCCAGGCCATCAGGGACGGCTGCATGGGGAACCTGGATTTTAGTTCATCCTCAGGGGC